GTCTGTGTCAGCTAGATGAGAATTATAGCAAAGAGCAACATGTATCAGAATAGACCACTACTATTAATAACCAGCTATATTCATAAAATAATATTTTATGAAAAGCTAGTGAGACTTAGGGTAGAAAAATGAAGAACCCAATGTTCAGAAAAAGATAATTTATTCATGGTTATGCTAGTAAATAGTGAGGTTAAAAGCCAATTCTTCAGCTCCTAGCTTAGAAGAATTTAGACCCAGCAATGAACAAATGAACTCTAGAGAATAAAAAAGAGAGTCAAGGGATTGCTGCAGGACAGTTTTGATTAACCCCTTCCCCAACAATATTTTTGTTAAAAACGTTTCTTTTTCAGACTAATTTTTTTATTTTGGTTCTATATAGTATTTTTGATGCTGGTTATGAAAACAGTTTGTAACTCGTCTTCCTATAAACCATATTTTTTTACCATATTTTCTTAGTATACTCGTCGACGACTGAAAAAGAACATTTTGTGAAAACGAGTATACACGTTTCTGCCGGGGAAGGGGTTAAACGGGTAATCTTGTTTAGACAGATAGGTCTGTGGACTAAAACATCCACTCTTCAGGGTAAAAGGATTTTGAAAGGATTTCAGGAGGAACTAAAAATGAGATCTATCAAAGCAGCCTTCAGTACAAGAGAAATTTAGAAGAAAAGGCATCACACCGAATTACAATGAAAATGACTCGCAGTGAGTCACACATGCAGTGAGACACACACACTGAGTCACACGCACAGCTAATATACAGGCAAAGGGTCTTTCTCTGGGTCCCTTTCGTGGATCTTGGTTACCTAAGGAGATGCCTTAAAGAAATGCTTCCGTTGACATTACCTTACAGTAGACAGGTGGCCACTTCCCTGGGTTTGGATGGATGAACCTATAAAGGTTTTGTAGCACAGTTGCTTGGTCACATCCAGATTCAAAGTTTGAAATGGGAATCTTGTGACTCGAATCACCTGAAGGAAATAAAGAGAAGGCAGGAGTTCAAAACTTGACTAAGACAAATGTTACAAAGCAGGCATGAAAGAAAGTAGGAAGAAAGGAAGATAGTGGGTGCCTCATGTTGAGCACTGAACCAAGCCTGGTTAGATTAGGGACTTCAGCTGTCTTATCCCCCCCCCCATCTCCCTTATTAGGTAGGGGATACACACAGAAAAGAGACAGCTGCGGTCGCAGAAGAAAGCACCACAGCGCCCCCTTATCCAGTTTGCTTTCCGCAGTTTACCTGCTTCAACTGTGATCTGAAAATATTTAATGGAAAATTCCCTAAATAAACAATTCTTTAAAGTTTTAAATTGAGCACCATTCTGAATAGTGTTATGAAAATCACAATGTCCCTCTCCGTGCCACCCAGGGCGAGACATCCCTTTGTCCTGGGTCTCCACGCTGTAGACGTTAACTACCCCTTAGTCACTCAGCAGTCCAAGTTACCAGATTGACTGTCACCGTGCCAGTGCTGTGTTCGCGTGCCCCTATTTCACTTAAGGACAGCCCCAACGCACAAGAGTGGTGACGCTGCGATTCGGATCTGCCACAGAAGCCGGAGAGGGCTTCCTTTATGTGAAAAGGTGAAAGTTCCCAACTAAATAAGAAAAAAGTTGTATGCTAAGGTTGCCAAAATCATAAGAATGAATCTCCTATCCGTGAAATGGCAAAGAAAAAAATCATGAAGAAGGCTAAGCCAGTACAATAAGATATTCTGAGATAGACCACATTCACAGAACTTGATTAGTCTATAGTTCTGACTGTTGTTTTATTCTTACTGTTATTAATCTCTTAGTGTGCCTAATTGATGTTACACTTTATCCCAGGTTTGTCTTAGAGAAGAAACACAGTATATAGAGTTTAGAACTCTGCAGTTTCAGGCATCCACGGGGAGTTCAGACAGGTCCCCTGCGGACAAGGGGGGATGGCTGTGTTAACAGCTGGCAGTAGAGTGAGAACTGAAACCCAGGTTTGTGAAGTGACTGAGCCTCAGTGTCTTCACTATTTCATTAATCTGTTTGTTAATAAGGCCACAGAACTTAACAATAATGACCACTTTTTCAAAGTTGTAAGAAGAGTTCCACTTCCAGCAAAAAAATGGACCAAGTAACTCAGACCAAACTTGCCACAGAGATGTAAAGTGCTTGGGGACACCAAGAGCACATCCAGCGGCAAGGAATTATTAGAGCAGGTGGAAGTGAAGACTCCAGAGCACAGAGCCTTGCTGTGGGGCGTGGCCCTGGAGTCGTGCCAATTCCAGAAGAGGGAGGTGACTGGTGGGAAGTGCCAATTCACTGCTTTGGGGGCCTGGCGAGCTAGCGAGGCCCCAGGTGTCTAGAAAAGGCAAACAGAAATCCTCTTCAAGGAAAAGGAACATCAGTATAAGCCTCAAATTACTTTAAAATCACACTTTTTTCAATGATTTACCAAGTACACAAAGAAACAAGAATCAGAACCAAAACAGAGTGGTAGAGAGAGATCCAAAAATATTCCAGATTCTGAAGTGATTGGACAGATTTTAAACAATCATGTTTATATCTGAGATCAAATTACAAATTCAGCATAAAACTGAAAACTATGAAAAGGATACAGACGTTCAACTTCTGATCACAGCAGAGTAGGAGAAAGCTGGACCAATGAGACACCTGCTTGAAAGCCCTGAGAGGTACAAATGGGTGAGGAAAGACGGGCCCAAGGCCTCGGAAAGAAGGCCTGGAGCTGACCTGGTCACTTGGCATTTACTGATTCCAGAAGAAGAGGGTCAGAGGCTGGGACACTGAGTTTTCGACAGACCCAGAGCTAGTAAGAATTAAAAGTAATGCTCTGGTGTCACTGTGTTTATAAAGTGTTTGTAATAAAAATATCCAGTTGTCTCCCAGCTTCCATTGTTTATGCTGTGAAGTCAACTATAAATTTCACCAATGATCTTTTGATGGTAATCTGCCCACCTTTCCCCCTTTTTAGTAAAGATCAACTAGAAATAGACTGACTCTCATCAGGTCTGAAACCAGTTTTAATCCTGAAATTGGATTAAGGCCATCAGATTAAGGCCAGCCTTGGGACAGAAACAACATCTTTGGGGAGAAAAAAACAACATTATTTATACTGTCCAGCACTCAATGAAAAATAACCAGACACATGAAGAGATCTGATAACTTGATTGAACATCAAGGTAACCAACAGACTATAAAAATAGACCCCAAAAGGGAAAAAACCTCTGTATCAGGGTTATCAGACGTAAGACATTAAAATAACGAGGCTTATTATATTCAGGAAATAAAAAAATGATAATTTTAGCAGAACCATTAACAAGAACCAAATGTAAATTCAAAGATTGAAAACACATTCCTTAAGACTACAGAATAACCTTAAACTACAAGATCAGGTAAATTAACCGATTTCCACCTTTAACGTGAATGCACAAAGGTCACGAATAAAACTTTCTGGTAAAGTTTTATTTTTATATCCAGACTTTACTCCATATGGAATCGACTTGTTTATGGTGTGAGGTAGATTCAGTGTATCCCTCTCTACACCCCATGTGGATAATCAGTTATCTCAGCCTCCCTTATTGAATACCAGTAATCAATGTACTCTCTGATATGCAGAGTATACTCCTGTACCACACACAAATCTTTTTGGTATTTCATTCTGCTCTATTGGTCTGCTTGTTTTTTGGTGTTCATATCATACTGTTTATGGAAAAACTCAAAGGACACCACCAAAAATGAATCTAAAACACTCATTTACCTTTATAAGTATTACAAAATAGCTGTTTACAGATTTAAAGAACATTTTTATAATTTCAAACACTTTCCAATATAAATTTAAAAATAAATCTATTATCCCAATTTTCATTCTAATCAAACAGGAACCTGGTTAAAATCTAGTTTCTAGAAAATAGTTTAGGTTCAAGAGCTGAGGTATACAGTCATGTCCTTTGCTGAAAACTTGAAAATAAAAACCTGATTTCCTCATCTAAAAGTTAATTCAGAGCTCCTTTGTGTGTTTAACACCATCATTCTGTCATTTTTGAAACATCATCTCTTTTTCTTCATTCTGAAAGGTCTCCCTGTAAATTCCCATAAACCTAGATAATCTGATACCTCCTAAAAGACTTACCTACGTATCTGGCCAGTAAAAGCAGCCAATCTCAAAGCCAAAGGCAGAAAATAAAAACACAACCCCCATAAAGGAAAAGGGATATTATACTACAAAGTGTATATAACTTTAAAGTTTTTAAGGATCATTTACACATCTACCACTTTTATGAAGAGTCTCCAACAACTAAAAGTTATTTTTCAACTGACATTTCATGTATCTGGTAAAAGCAGTTAAGTCTTAACCAGGAACACACACATATATTCATTCAATGCCTAAAATGTACCCCACTCTTTTATACTTACTTGCAGCCTGACAATGAAACCGAAATCCTCGTGGAATTTCACCTGTAATACAAAATATTTTGCTGAGAAGAGCAGAAATCTGGCAGCTCTGTGGTTATCTTACAGCAATAATATTCCACAGGACAACCAAGTCATAACATAGGTGGGTAACTGTTATTGCTATGTAAAAATACAAGATAGTAAACCTATTTCATCATGGGTTTTTTAACCAAAGGTATGATGGCCATCAAAAATTTTTGTATTTTTGTCAAGCTACTTCAAAAAGCAAATTATTCCTTACTGAGAAAGAAATCTTAGGTAAAGAACACTTGGCCCTGGCAAGTACTGCTCAGTGGGTTGAGCATCATCCCATGCACGGAAAGGTGACTGGTTTGATTCCCAGTCAGGGCACTTGCCCAGGTTCCAGGCTTGATCCCAGGTCGGCGTGCATGTGGGAGGCAGCCAATGGATGTTTCTCTCTCTCTAAAATCAATAAAAACATGTATTTTTTAGAAAGAACACTTGTGCTAAAGGGTCTGAGCTCAGGGTCCAGGAATGGACCTCAGGGGTTCATGAGGTCCTTGAGTTTAGGTTCTCTGAGCAAAGAGTCTTCAAGCTCGAGCTTTCTCATGTTTTGCAACTATATAAAGTAGTCATTGGCTTGTCTTAAGCAGAAACTCTCAGTAGGAGGATTCGGTTTTCTGTCATCTAGAAACAAGAAAACGTGCTGGGCATCTTAATAAACGTAAAAGCAACTGAAAAAACTGAGGAAGAAGCTCTTCTT